TTTCTCCACATGGTTGCAGCTCTGTGGAGGAGGCGGGCCATCTGGCCAAAAGCCCCTCACAACTTTAAGCCACTCTTTCCAACCTTTCCTGCTTTACCATAGGTGTGGCCAGGCCTTCTCCGGGATGTGGGACTCCCGGAAGTAGAGGGCCTTCTTGAGGATGTGCTCAAAGTGTCCTGCCAAGGTCAAAATTCGGCTTTGGGTCTTCTCGGACAGGCAGGATCCATAGGTAGCTACTCCAGCTTCCTGAAGGTAAACTTCGAGCACACGGGTGGACAACCATCTACCCTTGCGACGCACCAACTCAGAGTCCTCTGTCTCCTGCAGGAGGAACGTGGCACCTCCTGGCCTGAAACTTGCCAGGCTATATGGAGAGAAGCCTTCTCGTCGAGTGGTTTCGAGGCCAAGTGCTTGCTGCAACTGTGCGAACCTCCTCCGCAAGGTAGCTGGTGCACACGGCCAAAGCAAAGCGCCCTTATCGACGAACTTGAACACTGAGGTCACCAACTGCACAACGTCAGGGTGGTCAACTCTTGAGCACTGGTGCCTTGCGGCACAGCCCCTTGTTTTGGGTTGCCGTATACGAAGTATCAAGCTCTGAAACCCAGGCGAGGCTTCGAAGGGCAGAATCAAATCTGCCCTCCTCGCAGCAAAAACTTCTCCTATACGAAGCAACCCCGACCAAGCCAAACAAAAGATTGCAGCTTCTGTCGACCAACCCCACAACAATGCCAACCCTGATATCGCCAACAACACAGGGAGGGGAAGTGCGGGATGATGTTCTCGAGGTTCGTCGACTGCCCAGTTGAAAGCCAGGTCCCAAGCCATGGCCAACTGCTTTCTCAGCGCGGGCCTCCGCTGAGCCACTGCATTGATCGTCTCTGAAAACCTGCCGTACGGTCGGCCTGCAAAAAACATCTCTTTACCAAATGCAACCAATGCTTCATTGACCAGCTGTGGGTCACACGTCCTATAGAATCCAACAAAGCGGACAGGGTGGTGTGAAAATGCTCAACCAGCCAAACATCGAAGTCCTGCATCAGGGCATCACGGTGGCTCCTAGTTCTCTGCTGGAGCACCCGGTCAGCTGCCAAAATCGTGCCAGCTCTGGCTCCAGCTCTCTTAATTCAGATCTTCGGTTCCTCGGGGCTGCAATGGCATGGCATGCGCGGCCGGAAAACCACCTAAGGGGGCAAAACGGCTCCTACAACCCGGGCAGGCCCTCTGTCGTTCGTGTCCAGGCCCTGCCGAGAGGCAGAGAAGGATGAGGAAGGCCAGGAGGGAAAGAGACGGATGTCTTCGATTGTTCGAAGAACTGATAGCCGGAGCCAAGAAGGTGAGCAGGGAGAAGCAGCTGATGGACAGAGATGCACAAAGTCCAAAGACGGACCCAAGTAGGGTCATGAAGTCCACAGTGAAAGTCCACGGGGCGAAGGAAGTCCAACTAGAGCCTCTGAGCATGCTCCAGCAGGGGAAAGGCAAATGGAAGCCAGCAGGACAAGCCGAATCCAACTAGATGCCGCCTTCGAGAACTGCAAGGCATGGACGGCTGCAACCTCCTCAGGGCAAAGATGATCCACAATAGAATGTGTAGTGGGCGATCTCGGTGACGAGTGGGTGCATCGGCTGTGTTCAACCTTGTAGGAGCAAACAAAGGACGGGTGAAGGTTTCCTGCAATTGTCAAAGCGCTGGCCTTCTTGAGGGATCTCTTCAAAGACCTTGCTGACGACCGACCTTTCCCATAATGAGCACCCTTTGCCACCCTGCTATCCAAGAAGGCGTTGAAGCGGAGTGAACCACCTCTCTTTGCCAAAGCATTGAGGAGAGCAACATAGGCGTGGCTTTCCAACACATTGATGTGCCCAAGATGCTTCCAGGCCCATACCGATGTAGTAGTCCATGTTCTTGAGAGAAGAAAATCGTTGATGATCACCGACTCCAAACCACTGACTGAGAGGCCCTCTTGATTCACCCTTGCACTCAGAGCCTTCGTGAAGCAGTCCGCAATGAGATTTGCAACTCCAGGGGCGTAGATTGCACTGGCTTTTGTATACTTGCCCTCAATCCTCACACGCTGATGACCTCCTGAGCATCTCACTGTGAGCTGGTCTGCATTGAGGCCATAGACTAACAGGCGGAACTCCTTCTTGTGTATAGACCCAAGCATGCAGGACGCCAGGGTTGCCTCCTCAAAGCCAAGGGAAAGCAGATAGCGCCATGCACGAAGCCATGCCATCTTGCTCAAACGAGGCTGCTCCAAAAGAGACGGGAGGTCAAATCTCCAAGCAAACCATGCTATCGTCAAACATCTAAAGGCAAGGAGGTTTCCCAGGTAGGTCTTCTTCTCCTTGCGGTCAAAGCCAAGAGGATTGTCATAACTCCTGGAAGCAGGATACTGTGCCGGTGAGAAGGTCGTACAAGGCGGCTCAAGTGCAAGGCTCCTGAAGCGCTTTTCTGCAATCATCTGAAAGATCCCGTCCAAGAGCTTCTCAGAACCGAGGTCGAAGGCTGGGCTCTGACTCAAGTCGATGGGTGTGCAGACTCTGAAACCTCTCTCCGCCATAGCCTCAGAAAGAACACCTGAGCCCCCACAAATCTCAACGAAGTCAAAGCAAAAATCCAGCACCTTCTTGGGATGGAAGCTCTGGAAGGGGACGTCAAACCCCCTTTCAGCCTCTGTCTCCTCACCCAGAATCCTCAGGGCGGCGGAAGCTCCACAATCTAGCTGAGTATAGGCTCCCTTTCGATCGCCACCAAGCCAAAGGCGCTTTGCAACCTCCTCCTCTACTGCGGTCTGAACAACAGCTCCCCCCCATGTAGAAGCATCTGTGGCATAGACCTTCGTGTCATATAGGGGACACTGACGTCAGCGACAGCCAGGAAAGATGCAATGGATGCCAGAACCAACTCCTCAGCTATAGAGCGGGGCAATGTAATGACCTCATCTGCTGTTGCTGCTGAAGTGTTTCCAAGCTGGAAGACGCCATCCAAAATGCATGTAAGGCAACGCCTGAACATAAGCACAGAGGTCCAGTTTCCTGCAAGCCGTGAAGCTATTCCTCTTGAAATCACGGTGAAAGCCGCAAGAACAGGGAAGGAGCAATTCCTCTTGATCACACGACCTTCGGACAGGCCTCCCCATTCCAACAAAGAAGAGTGGCTTTGGAGGGCATACTCAACCCCCAAATGATCTCCTTGGAAGAGACTCTTGAAGCCGACGTAGACGAAGTCCAGACACTGCCCGACAAGAAGGGGAGTACGCCTCCGACCCAACTGGTCTCCATGCTTCTCTCGACTGGTGGGCTCTCGAAGCTCCTTGTAGAGGACCTCAAGCTCATCAAAACCCTGAAACCAACTCTCAGGGAAGGCGAAGGGCAACATGTTATGAAGTCCATCACCATGGCCACTTGCCAAACAATGAAGCCGTGCTCCTTGAACTTTCCGAAGCCCCCGAACCTTTCGAGGCACCTCGTGGCCATCACCCCCTGATCCCGTAGTTGAAGAGCTGGAAGGTCTGCTGAAGTGGCAGGGGCCATCCTTCTTGACATCTGCTGGAGCACCGATTGGAAGAAGACTCCTTTGTGCAATGCTAGCTCCTGCTGAAGCTTTGCTCTCCCTATTGCCCCCTTTGAAGACACAGAAGAGCCGCTGGCACCCAGATCTGTCATAGGATCTCCGGAGGATGAAGCTATCTGGCCAACCAACTGCGTCAGGGCTCTGCTTTGCTCTAGGACCGCTTTTGCCAAGTCGTTCTCTCCTCCCTCTTTCAACTCCAGCGCTGCCTCCTCTGCCTCCTTCTGTTGAATGCCCAGAGATGTAGGCCGGCTCCCAAAAGATATACTTCTGGGCGGTGGCATGTCGTTCACCAAAGGCCCCCAAGGGAGCAGCATTCGAGGATCCACCTCCAACTGATGTAGCTAAGGGCTTCTTCAAGGCAGAGGGTCTGGACGTAGCTCCCAGTGCATTGACAGCTCCTGATTCGATGCGAGCCGTCCTCTCGGAAAGATCCTGCATCTGACTGGAGAGTTGAGGAAGAACAGACTGAATGCTGGCCAGGGCTTCGGCAAGGCTTGCCACTGTCGCTCGAGGTGTCTTCTTTGGGGCCTGCTCTCTTGGCTTGTCTTGCACGCCAGAACGACGACGGCGAGGAGTTCCAGGGATCAACTCTACTTCTCCTTCTTCTGCCAACTGCTCTGCCACTTCGACCTCCTCCTCCTGAGCCGAGTAGAAAAGAAGGCGATCTGGATTTGACTGGGACATGAGCCAACCTTGAGCTGCCGCTATCAAGTCCTCTGGCAACGGAATGATCTTGGGGTCCTCCGAGGTGAAAGGAACTACTCCCTCCAAGTCGTGGTGGTCGACCACTTCCTCGACAAAAGAAAGGATCTCCATCGTGGTGTTTATGAGAGTCACCTGCAGCTTCCTTCCGGGAAGGTTCAAAGGGTCCATCAAAGGGGACTCCTCCGCCAAAGCCGCTGCAGCCACCTCCACTGTAATTGAAGGTCCAATCATCGAGAACTGGTCTGCCAACTGCCCAGCCTCCAGCCGAGCATCCAGGACCGACCCCTCTGGCAAAGCCCATAGGCAACCCTCCTCCCGTGTCATCACCAGGAAAGCCAGGGTCATACCATCCACGCCAACTCCAGCTCCTGGATCTCCAAGGCTCAGCACATATATGGGCTGCATCCCCGGGAACCCTGCTTCCGCGAAGAGCGGCATCAGCTTCTCCATATTGGGCATGACTCAAAGCACCCTCACAGGGGGTACGTCTCCCCAGCTCCAAGGACGTAGGCCCTTGCCTCGGCCTCACTTGCGAATCCGTGGCAGACGTTGACAGGGTTCGAAAGGTCTCCCACCTCCGCAAAGAAGCTCTTGGAGGTGCTGAAAATTCGAGGGCTGGACGACCTTGACGATCGTAGAACCACGTAGGTGCGGTTTGCAAGCTCAATCGTAGGTGTCCTGTTTGGGCTCTGCACCCTCTCCTGAATCTTTGCTCCTGCCCACTGACCGGCCAGATAGGCTCGCTTGATGCGGTCTGCACCAGAGAACTTGGAAGTAGATGACAGTCGAGAGGCCAAAGACAACACAGAAGGAGGGCAAGGTGAAAAGCTTGCCTCAATCTCAGCACGAGTCTCGAGCCTTCTTGCTGGCTCTGGAGCACTCGAGGGCCTTGGGGCCGATGACTTGGTCGCCGCCGGCGCGATCTCAAAGTCCTCCGAGTAACCTGAACGAGGGCGAGCAGGAGATGCAGGAGGATCAGTAGTGCTGGAAGCAAGGCCTTGCACGAAGCGAGCTGCGTTGCCAGCTGGACCTTTGACAGCAATGGAATGGCCCTGGAATTCAATCTCCAACGCGACCTCCTCGGCGTTGGACTTGTCCACCATACAAGTAGGCCTGCAGCCGTCGAGAAGGAGCCGAGGGGCTGTCGACCCTCAGAGGATGAGATGAGAATGATGGCAAGCCAAAGAGGCCGAGGTAGAGGCCCAAGAGGAGAGTGAGCAGGGTGCCGCAAAGAAAGCCAAGGCACAGGAAGCTCAAGAGCAAAGGGAGGCCCGAGGGAGAGCAATGGGCAGGGCAACCGAGTCCCCACCAATTGCTGTTGGCTCCGGCTATCAGGAACCGGAGGGCCTGCCAAACCTGATCCATAAAGCTTGAGAACGAGCATGCGACATCGAGTCGTGCCTACAAAGCAACTCTCAAGGCATTTGATGTTGGGGTGGGAGATCGTTCGAACTTGTTTGGCAAAAACGCTTGATGAGGGAACAACCGGCATGAAAAAGAATACCATGGCTTCTTGCGTTCTGAATGGAACAAATCTATTCCCTACTTCTTTTGAACGCAAAGCTGAAGCAAAGAAATCAAGAAGGAAGCTTGAAGTTGGCATGAATGGCAGGACATGGAAGGCCTATGACATTCTTCCCAAGCATGGCCGAAAAATAATACAGTACTGGTTCTAAACAAACCGCCTTTAACACAAAGCAAGTGCGAGAAGTAATGAAACACCACCCTACCTTTATTGACACCCGACTCATAAACTGGTAGAACAAGAAACATGCAAAGAGGAATGAATGAAAGCTTCTGACGAATAGTAACAAGTGCCACGCTAGTAGTAACAGGTACCACGCTAGTAGTGCGAGATGGAAACATTCGTCAAACTTGTTCGAATGACGGCTTTGGAGAACTCAACCGAATTCGACTATCGGGACTCGACGAATGTCTACTAGCTTCTTGTTACTAGTAGTAAGGCACCTGTTACTACTAGTAAGGCAGTTGTTCCTAGTAGCTTAATGTTTTTAATAGCTTCTTGTTACTAGTAGTAAGGCACCTGTTACTACTAGTAAGGCACTTGTTCCTAGTAGCTTAATGTTTTTAATAGCTTCTTGTTACTAGTAGTAAGGCACCTGTTACTACTAGTAAGGCACTTGTTCCTAGTAGCTTATTGTTTTTAATAGCTTCTTGTTACTAGTAGTAAGGCACCTGTTACTACTAGTAAGGCACTTGTTCCTAGTAGCTCATTGCCTTTAATAGCTTCTTGTTACTAGTAGTAAGGCACCTAGTAAGGCACGTGTTCCTAGTAGCTTGTTTTTTAATAGCTTCTTGTTACTAGTAGTAAGGCACCTGTTACTACTAGTAAGGCACTTGTTCCTAGTAGCTTATTGCTTTTAATAGCTTCTTGTTACTAGTAGTAAGGCACCTAGTAAGGCACGTGTTCCTAGTAGCTTGTTTTTTAATAGCTTCTTGTTACTAGTAGTAAGGCACCTGTTACTACTAGTAAGGCACTTGTTCCTAGTAGCTTATTGTTTAATACCTTATAGTCATGAACTTCCGAAACTGAATGTCTAATTACCCAAAACCAACAGAGTTGCTCTTAGAAAGAGCGGTCCTGCTGCAATCAACAGCCGAGACATTCAAACTCAACCCTTTCCAACCGTGTTCTACTCGCATTTACTTACCAAAGGGCACAGCAAAGGAACAAGGGAATGACAGAAAATCATACAAAGTTACAAAGTCTTTAGTCTATAAATGTTGGGAAGATATGGCCACATAAACTTCCGAAACTGAATGTGAACCCAAAACCAACAGAGTTTTCCTCTTAAGAGCGGTCCTGCTGCAGTTGCCTCACCCAAACAGCTTTGGTCTGGGTTCCAAAGGCTTGGTCTAGACCTTAGGAGTGAAGAATCTATAAAAACCAAGGGAGACAAGGCCTTGAATCATTTACTTTGCATCATGTGTTTTTTGTTTGCGTATGTTGGTAGTGTCAAAGAAAAAGGTACGTTTACATTCAACTTGATCTAATTCAAATGCTGTATCCGGGTAATCCATGTGAAAGCTCTGAAATCTCCAAAAAAACAATCAGTATAATAAAACTTGCAATCGTACATGACGGCATGTTTGCCAAGAAGCGTGGAGGTTTCCCAGGTGGGTTGATGTGCGAAATCTTCTGGATGCAGCGGATTCGATCATGGTCCAACGCACGTGCTACAAGGTCGCACTCGACATAGTACTCCACCAAATCTGTACCCTCAGCGGCACCTTTCCGAACAAAATAAGGGAATGATTCTACACACTCGTTTGGAATTCTTCGAAGCGAGCATAAAAAACATAGACGTAGTTGAAAACATGCGAAACGCTTGATCTGCTCGGTTGTTTTGGGCCCCAGGCCACGGTACAGAACGTGGTAGCCAGTATGCGCAATGTTTGGCATCAAACCGACGATCTCCACACCATCAGCTCTTGTCTCATTGACTCGTTTACGCGCAACATTTGTACTTCCGATTGTGACCAGTGCCTTGTGGTCAGCCTTGAAATAGTTTGTCAGGTTTTCATTGTCGAAGCGATTGCGATGCTCAATGTGGCTTTCCTGGCCACGATTTGCCATGATGCATTCCAAGCTGAAAGCCATCTGGTTAATCTGCACCAGTACATCAACTTTGCCATTGCGGGGGGTTAAAGGTGCAGAAGCCTGATACCCCAATCTTTGCAGAGCATGTAGGATGGCAGCATTGTATTGCTCTTCATACGGCAAGTCTGACCCTGACAGAGAGGAATTTGATTCAAGGTCTGCGGCAAAGGAGACCACCTGTGCAAAAGTCAGACATGGAATTGCGCGAAGCAATAGATCCAAACAATTGACTGGCACAAACGGTTCAACATGCACTTTCAATCCACAAAAGTTCTGTAATTGATGCCTGTAGTAGGAAGCCAGAATTGGATTGGCAACAGCATACGTGGCACCTGGTCTTGTCCAATCTACTCTCTGGAACTCATCATTACCTTCCGAGACCGGGATGACAAATCCCTGGATGGTCAACTCACGCCGTATCTCCTTAGAAAGATTACCTGGGCCTTCACAAAGACGTTGTATGAATTCTTTTTGCACTACGTCAAGGTCACTGTATCTCCCATTCACCTTCACTCCTCGTGATTCAGCAAGTGCACCCAAGATCGTGCCAGTTGCCCAACTGCCATCGCTAATGCTGGCTCGAACTTTTGCGACTGTGTCTCTAAATGCCCAATGACTTGTCTCATCTTGCATCTGTTTGACCCATCTCATCGCGGCAACATAAATTGATCGGTGCCCGCCGCAAAATTTGAGGAAGAAAGCCACGCTTCTTGCATCTAGGTGTACGCCTGCCTCATTCAACCCCTTGACAAGTTCATCAAGAGCATCCTCCGTTTCAGGGACAGGAGGAGTCCAAAAGAACTTCTGTTTGATCTCGGAAGGTGTGACTGCCCTGCTACCCTTTCCCTCGCCTGATGCTGATAACAAGAGCAACTTGGGGTGAGTGTCACTCTTGAAAAGCAGCACACAAAGGTCCGGGAGGTTGAAGATAGTATGGGCTTCATCTAGTACCAGTGTCAGATTGTTTGCATGCGCTAGGCAAACTGCATCCTCAAGTTGCATCTCATCCTTTCTGACACTCCTCTGCATCGCAGTCATAATGGTTTTCACAATACTTTCCATCACCAAAAGGAACACTAACAAACTTCGGGTTTTGCCGTGCCAGGTGCAAGCGCAAAGTGCTTTTGCCCACGCCAACACCTCCACGAACAAACGCAAACTCCTCTCCTTCAAACAAATCCTCTATCTTCTGTCCATAACCTTCCAAGGGAACGAACACGTGTTCTTCAGGATTTGCGGACTTGTCAACGGAGGGAACTGCCGTTTCTTGGATTCAGCTGCCAACCGTGTTTGCGCAGACTGCCTTGCATTCACGAGTGCACCTGGTACGAATGCCTGCAGGAGGCATTCCATGTACCAAAAGCTGAACAGCAGAAGTGACTTCCCCAGTTTCCGACTCATTGACAAAGCCATCGCTACAAATGAGTCTACCTCACATATTCAAACTATGAACTCATCTCGATCAATTTACGCTGCACAAGACTACAAACCAGTCACGCAAACATGCTTCCAACAGCAAAACCAGCCAGCAAGCCACACTGACTGATGGTCGTTCGCTTGGCCCGGTTAGGCCAAGCTTGTCTGAATGGTCCACCGAAAGCCCTACGAAAACGGGCACAAAGAAGGCGTCCTGTGCCCCAACGGGTTGGTCGTTTGCTTTTATTGGAAGAGTAGCGAGTGATGACGTGGCGAGTGGTTTTTGTGGTTTTTCTTATATCCCAGACACTCCATGTGTGCCATATAGGCCTACATTGGGGTGGTTTCAGGGGTCAATGTAGGCATATATGGCATACATGGAGTGTCTGGGTACGTTGATCATCTGTGTAAAATCTTTATCCCCACTACTCCGCAACTCCGTTCGTACATGGATGTCGTCGTTGGAAACCTTCATCCACGGTTGCTCCTTCGGCCTGGCCACGCCAAGTCTCCCTTCCCTTCTCACTGTCCCAGATCTTTCAACAGCCATTCATGCCAATCATCGCAAATGGCTCTAGGCAGGGATGCTCAAAAACCCGGAGCCTCGATTAGGGCATAGAATATTGAATATGTTGGTCTGTAAGGAAACAACAACTCGACCAGATCATGCCCCGCAAGTTTGGCCATCCCCACATGAATTCCGCCCCAGCGTCCACAAGAATCCACACAACACTTCAGTGCCGGGGCGTGTGGAACGCGGGTCTTTTCGGAGATTTGGTCGGTCCAGAGGGACCTGTCAGCAGTCACGGCACCAGGTGAACCCCGACATCCGCGACCGACGAATTGTTCGACCCAGAGCGTCAATGGGGCGGCACAATCGTCCAGTCTCACACATGGTCTAGGCGACTGTTCCGCTTCCGAAACCGGACATTCACGGATCGGGAGGGCATTTTTTGCTGAGTCCATGGCTCGTGGCGAGCGTCTTCTTTGATCTTCATGTATTAGGTAGAGCCAACATACACACACACATAAAAAAGAAAGGCTGCGGATTTATTGTTTGATTTTGTGTTTTGTTATAGTTATGTGTTTTCGGTTGTTTTCCATTGATTCTGTTTGCTTTTCCTTTTCCCTTTTCCTTTTCCCTTTTCCTTTTCCTTTTTCCTTTTCCTTTTCCGTGTTCCTTTTTTCTTGTCCTTTGCCTGTTTCCTTTTCCTTTTTGCTTTTCCTTTTTTCCTGCCTTTTCCTGCCTTTTCCTTTTCCTTCACGACACTGGCCACTACAGGCAGCACAGCTTTGCAAGCTGGCCACCTGCAGCAGCACTCTGCTCATCGTCCTTCCTTTCTTCCTTTCTTGCTGCCTTCTTTCCTTCCTTCCTTCCTTTCTTGCTGCCGTCTTTCCTTCCTTCCTTCCTTGCTTGCTTGCTTGCTTCCTTCCCTCCCTCCCTCCCTCCCTCCCTCCCTCCTTCCTTCCTTCCTTCCTTCCTGGCAGCACAGCTTTGTAAGCTCCAGCACGACAGCCGTCGAAGCAAGGGAAGCCAAAAAAAGCCACAAAAGCCAAAAGCCAACAGAAGCCACCAAAGGCCAACAAAGAAGCAAAAGCCAAAAGCCACCAAAAGCCAAAAGCCACCAAAAGCCAAAAGCCACCAAAAGCCAAAAAGCCACCAAAAGCCAAAAGGCGCCAGAAAAAAAAATCAAAAAAAAGATACCCCTCCAAAAAGAAACAGTATCAACCCCGAGGCTTTCACGAGGACTCTGGGCCGCCTGCAAATCACTGCATTGGTTGCATCCTAGAACCAATCTCTTCTGTTACTACTTTGACCCCTCAAACCACCATCGGGAGTCATATGCCAGTCCCATCGGTCGTGATTTGTGAACCCAGATTATCCATAGTATGGAATAATTACTTACATTGGGGTCATGAAATGTCGTAAAATGTCATTATATACATTGTATCGAATAGTTACTTAATGTTACTTGTATGGATGGTATACCCCTTTTGTCCACAGATGGCCAGGCGGCCTGCTCCAGGACTCTCCAGCGAGACACTCCAGGTGCAATCCATCTCCATTTGATCCTGCCCTTTGGCAAAGCATCATTGAAGTGGAATCCATCTGAGCAATTCTTTCTCCGAATTCTTTATTCGGAGATTGGCCGAGATCGTTTTGGTTTCAATTTCGGTCCTAAATGTCCAATCCATGTTTCTGAGCCCCAACGCATGTAAAAGAAAAATGGCATAATTCAAAATATCCCATGGGTCTCATGTTGTCTCATGTCATTCCGAAGCAGTCTTTCTCGATGGGGGGCCGATTTCCCGCTCAAAAATCCGGGTGAAACCGCTCAAAGCTCATCAAAGCTCCAAGCTAGCGCCCTGTTTCACAAATTTCACAAAGTCCTGCGCGCTCGTCAAAGCTCGGAAAACAACCCAAAAGGCGCATGGTTGTTGCTGTTGTTGTTGGTCGGCGGATTTGCAAGTTTTTGGTGTCGCAAAAAACATGTTGAACTTCCTGCAAGGCAGTTCTTGTTCAACCAGCTTTGCTTTGGGGGGACTAAAGTCATCTCCGCAAACGCGGCTTTCCCCTTTCCCCTCTTCCTCTTCCGAAGGGCCAGATCCGTTCAGATCCGTTCGATCAGACATGCACACCAAATGCGTTCCAACCATGTTCAGAGTTGCACAGGTGTGAGGCCCTGATCGGCCCGGAGTGTTTTTGCGTTCCAAACGCTTCGCGCCGCTTCGCCACGTCTCCAAGAAATCTCTAGGGCCAAACACCGGCGGGCTGGTCACAAGCCACGAACGTGACGAACACATCACATGGAAGTGGAAATCCCACTGTTTGTAGAGGAAAGTAGTCTTCCAAGGGGCCATGCCATCCACTTCCATGTTAGTGAGTCAGAGTGTACCCAACGCAGCCACAAAAAGACACATTATATCAATCAGAGACCGGTCTGTGGAAGAAAGCAAGCACCAGTTGGTGGTCATTCCACTGGGAGATTCCCTGGTTGACAGGTTTGGGGCCTCCAGGTTTTGACCCACTGCCAGTGCAGTAGCACACTACCGTTGATCTCAGTTGTTCCTTTTGGTCATCCGCCCATGTCATCCAGCCGCATCCGCCCATCCAGCCGGAGGGCATCAACAAGATACTTCAGCTGCGACACGCCAGAAACACCAAAATCAAATCGGAACGTTTTGGATGATGTTGCGCCCATTCAAATGGAATCAAAACAAAAGTAACACGAATTCCGAATGGTCAGGAACCCCAAAAAAGTAATATGCAGTAATGTTGACACAGGATTAAGTAGCCACCCCCTGTCAATCAAGCCCAGCTCCCCCAATACTAAACTAATTGAACACCTGAATTCCACATGCCCATCACCCTACCATTATGTCTTTTGCAGAAACCCCTCCCCTATTAATCAAGCCCAGCTGCCCCCCCCCAAAAAAAATACAGTATAAAAAGAATGCTATTGTAATTCATCATTCTTATTTACTGTCTTTCTCCATTGTTCCACAATCCCTAAAAGCTCTCTAGCAAAACTCTTTCATTTTCCCTTAGGTCTATCAAAACCTCAAGATGTTCAAGCTCACAAAGGGTACCCCTTGCACAGGCATCATGGTAACCATCATCCATCATCGGGTCATCACCGTCATTAGGGGGATAGTGGTCTCCAATACCTCCAATCTCAAACCTTGTTGACCTTGAAGGGGAGGGCCGTTGTGTTGGCATTACTTTGTTTGGGGTTCGTTCTGAACAAAAAGGCCCACTCAAACGAACCATGGTCGCTTCCCCACAACTTGCGTTCGCCATGTTTTGTCTTTCGTCCTGCAGGTCCTTGTAGCTCACCTGCTTGGAATCCGCCGCCTCGTGCAGCATCGAGGAGAAGGCCTCCCAAGAACCGACACGTGGAATCCGCACCGTTGAGGGCCATGTTCCGGCAGGTCGTTGTGTTTCACCTTGGTCGGTCCAAACTATGTGTGGCGGACCCACCCTCTCATGTCTTTCATTCGAGTGAAAGATCCGTCGCGCTTCGCCCACTACGTCCGGCGCTCCTTCTGCGCGCGAACCGCCCAAGCGGGCGCGTGACGCGCTCCGGGCGCCTCGATGTGGGTTTCTTCGCCTAGAGCTCCGGACGGGTTGACCCGATGGGAAGGAAAGACATCTGAGGCTTGGTCGTTCGGGTCGCCGAACACGAACGGAACTTCCGAAGCTACGAACGTAACGAACTCGGGCATTGCTTTCTTGGAACCAAGGGCATCGCTACTAGGTAGGAGCAAGGACGCTACTCCAACAGAAGCTCCAGCTTAGCAAATAGGCTGGTTTCTTCCACACAAGGACATTGTTCTCTTATGAGACCCCCCGTTGCTCCAGGGGTGCCGTTTCCATATTTGTCCACATTCACCCTAGGCAATCTCCACAAACATCATGAGATTGGGGGATTGGCCTGGGCCTTGGAAGGGCTCCCATGCAAGTTGCATGGAAAACCAGAACGTGTTGGCTTCAGCCAACACCTCCAAGGTATTCCACAGCCGCATCGGCTCATGGCAATGGCAAAGAGATTTCACTGAGAAAAGTTGCCTTTTCATCTTTTGTCGCACCTGCAAGCGCCAGCATCGAAGTTGCAACGTGTCCAAGCTTGTGCATGCCGCTCGAATTTGTATATACGTTCGGCTGGAAGGCAATGTTGCAGGAAGCACCTAGCATGCTTTCCACCGCGGCCATCGGCTAGAAGGACACAAAGCCATGTCGCAGTGAGCACCTAACCTGCTCTTCGCAACGCGACACACACACACACACAATTCAGTGCCTGATGGAGTAAGCGCCTGCGCGCTTACTCCATGTCTAATTCATTCCGAAGCACGAAGCGGTGCCATCTTGCAGTAAAAGTAAGACCCCCAAGTATATATAGATCCCCACTCAAAATCTATAGTTCCACCGTGCCACGATCCTCCCCCACTGCAGGGAGAACCACCACCACCGGGATCGCGTGGGACTGCCACACGTGACCGGCAGGGGGACCGACCCCAACAGCTTAGGATCTCCTCCATCTCCCAATAGCTTGGGATCGGTCTCCTGTCCACACGACCGATGTCTGTCGGACTGCCGCCCCGACCCAGAACTGGCACCACGGACCCCAACTGATCGGTAAATAGACCAGTCCCATGGGTCGTGCTTAGGGTGTGCCACTTCAGTTTCGTGAGAGCTTCCAGGTCGCCAGCTGCTGCGCCCTGCTGCGCCCTGCTGCGCCCTGCTGCGCCCTGCTGCGCCCTGCTGCGCCCTGCGGCCCGATCGCCTCCCCCATCCGCGGACGATCTCCACCGACCACGGACCGATCGATCTCCGCTTGCGCCGCCTTCGCGTCGGAGGACCAACTCCAGCTCCTTGGCATCGATGTACCTCGCGTCGGGCGAGCGGCGCTCGCGCCGGTCGCTCTGTGAGCCGGAGGAGAAGACGAAACGGGAGGGAGAGAATCCCTAGGGATCCACTGCCACCTTCTCAGGAGGTACTTGGGCCCTCCAAGCCTGCATATAAATAGTCTCCAATCACCGTACCTGAGAAGGTACGACTGGATCCCTGGGGAATTATATAATATATAGTGGTCCCCCCAAGAGATCGTGGCACGGTGTCCAAGACATTCTTAGTGGGTTTCTGCTTGTTTATCTATTCGGGGGTCCATAATATAGTTGCTTCAGTTTTAGAAAGAGGTCTAAACGATCTCACACCTGCGTCTTCCATCTCCGTACTCTCAACCACCTGCAAACCCGCTCTTGGCAGGTCAGACCCGAGGTCAGCCATTCCGGACCGTAGTTGAGGGTCTCCGAAAAACACGACCTCCGGAACATGTCTCCAAGCACCGCCAGTCGCTACCGTCCCTACCCGGTCCCGCCGGTCCCTCCGGTGCACCCGTCGCCGTTGCGATCGAAGATCCGGAAGGCCTTTCGACAGTGGCCCTCCTGGTGCGCCGCGCCCATCGAGGGGTTCAAGCGGTGGAGTGAAGCCCATCATGAAAAGAACTAGTCCATCCCCCTTCAGATACCCATGGAGACGATGGAATTTCATTCTGTAGTGGATATTCTAAGGGGGATAATATTCCACAAAAAAGAAACATTTGGATAACATTAGTATACATTAGTCATGGGTGAAACACCGTCACGGGTACTATGATGGACATCGCCTGCCGCGACATGATCTGGCTGCGCCGGGTTCTCAGCCCCCAGTCATTCATAGATGTTTTCTTGTTTCTCGCGAGCACAAACGGGCTCCCAACAGCCACGCGGAAGAAGGATAGGTCAATAGAGACGAGGAATTACTAAGCTTGCAAAGCTGTAAGAAATAGGTGAAACAAAACACTCCACCAAAAATACATAATAAAAAGAGAAATCAGCCGAACGTGCATAAATACACTACGCATCAAACAGCACAATAATCGATAGTACCAAGAGCAATACCAAGAGAGGCTCGAAAGCCTTTGGGACTCGGCTCAGTCCCATGCATCATAAGCGAGTGGCAAAAGGACCATGTTCTATTTACGGCGGCCTTTTTGATGTTACAAAGAAGTTGGTAGTCCGATATCTAAAAAAACAGTGTGGGGTCCAGACAACAAAGAGCAAACATCCTAGTTTCAACAACCCAATCTGCTCGGGGCGGTCTCCGAAAAAAAAAAAAAAAACGGAGTTGACATAGGTGTGACATGGTGTGACACAACTTCAAGAACAACTTGTACCATCGGATTGGACGATTTCGGTGCCCTCAAAATCGTTCATCTTGTAACTGTGGCAACCCATCAACCACCAGTTCATCGACATGTCCCATTGACTGGATGTAAACGTATCTAAGCTTCACACGTAGCGTTGCAAGGGCAAATGATGCGTTCGTCATAGCGCATCGGTTCAAGGGGCCACAGGATCGAAAACATCTCCTTCCCAGACGCGACCCTGGGCCCTCATATGGAGGGGTCTGGGGTCGAACCATTCCCTAGGGTTTTGAGGGACCAAGGGCTGTTTGGAGCGTCTGGGTTTCTCCTTTCACTTGTATTGGTGACTTGATTCCTTGGTTGTTTTAAGTCTTTCCTGCACGATTGGTGTCGCCTTTCACCAATGGGATCCAACAATTGCACAGTGTGTTTGATAAAGAAAAACCATTTACATGTGAGCATCTCTCTAAGTGGAAAGTAAGTCCCTCATCCTCCAACAATTTGGTGCGCCTAGGTGTTGCTGCCCCTTTCAGCTCTCTTTCACGGTCAAGTTGCTGTATTTTGGATCAAAGCAGGTCAAGTTGCCGATCAGCCCGGTCACCTCGAGCTTCTGCAACTTGTCGTGTCGTGTCACACCCAGAGACACGACACAACAGTCGGCCCTTCGACACTTGGCCCGGCCAGACAGGCCCTGTTTGGGTCTGGCCGGAGCCGGGGGTCTCACCGCGAGCAAATCGCCCCGCCCGCCCGCCTTCCAGTGGGAGAAGACACGTGGGAGGCTGGCGGCCAGGAAGTCAGTGAAGCCTCGAGGTCGCTGTCGCCGGTTCGCAGGGGTGCGGGGCCCAGTGCCCGGTTCTTCGAATCCCATTGTGTGGCGTTCTTTTGCCCCAGAGGAAACGCCCGTCACTCACCGATCCAAACGCAAAGAGGTTCCGTTACAATCATAGCCTCTGCCACAAAAACATCGTATGTTTACGTGGATCAATGGCTCCACTTCCATGATCATTTCAGGGAGGGTATGTTTCCATGTGTTCCAAGTTCCAACTAGGTGAGACATTGAGCAAGCCATGTCTCACCCCAAGGACTACCAAGGAACCGATGACGTCATCTCCCACTGGACGGCCACGGAGGATGGCCACCACCTGCCGGGAGGTGGCAATTCCTGAAAGAAGGTGTCAACAGCATGGAAAGAAAATCAGAAAGTGTCGACGAAGTCTGTTTGAAAGGGAAGGAATGAGGGGTCATTGCAACCAAAATAAACATTGTATATATTAATTTCCGTTTAAGGCTCCGCCCTGCCTCCCCCCTTCTCCAAAAAGTTCCCAAGCCGTTGGGATTGAACTCCGCTGGGTGAAAACAATACGAATGACCACAAATTTGTGAGGAAACCTCCAACTTGTGTGAGTGATCCTTGAGACTGCGCCGGAATCCGACGCAGACAAAGGAAACCAGGTGTTTTCAAGGCGTGAGAAACCTCTCCGATCCTCTCCGTGTCTTTATCATGGCCAACACAGTTCTTGTCAACAGGGTTGATGATGAACAGCTCTTCTAGCATGGCGACACTCGCTCGGTAATTGTACATTGCAGTGTTACATTGAATGATCAGGTACGGGAATGCTCTCCCAAAACAGCTCTGGATGTCTTCTGGTCTGGTTGGCTCTGGATGTCTCTGGTTGCCGCATCTTTTCCGCCAGCGGGGCTTCGTCTCCACGGTGCGGCGATCGTTCGTCTCACTGCTCTTTCTTTGTGCCCTCACTTTCAACCTGCGGCCGATCTCACCGATCGACGAGATGCGCGATACGCGACCTGGCAGCTGCTGTTCCTGGTTGGTGACGCGATGCCCATGGCCCATGGCTTCTCGAATCTTCTCCGCTTGGGGGTCGGTGGTCCCGTTTCCTTCCCATTTCGATCCACCGATCGCAGTCAGAAGTCACCGAGCGGAAGTCACCGATTGCGGTCTGGAGGTCCGAGCGACCAAGTGATGTCCGGTCCCTGCCCTTGCCTGGGGCTGATCTTTGATGACGCCACCTGCATCATGGAGATGAGCTTCTCAAAATGTATCCCCAAAAAACTAACCAGACAAGAGGATACAAGAGGGCATTCATTTGTGGCTAGGGAGCACCTGCAAAGTCGCATGAAGGCACTGCGCACCTGTGGATTGCAAGAGCTGCGCGAAGTCTTGGAGGTTCGACTGCCTTGCATAACGCGTTGACATCAACGCGTTATATGTGCGACAAAAGCAGTCAACGCATGCATTGCGCGTTGGACCAATCTGAATCAACACCTCCCCGGGCCCCGGCAGCTTTCACACCAGCACACCTGTTGGCAACCTGCAATGCCCCACCATGCGCCCAGCTCGCTCACCTTTAACCATGTTGGATGCTTCCTTTTAACCCTTCACCCTTTGTAGGATCCTTCCCTCTTCAAGCGAACCAAAAGAAGACCGACCAAATCATCCACTTTCGGAAGAGCCCAGGTCAGGCCACCAGGCGTTGCGGCGTTTCAGGGACTAAAAGCATCAAAGCGTCTGGATTCATTATCCGAATCATCCGCATCCTCTATAGTGGTCCCCAAATAGATGACCGTGGCATGGGCTCCAATACATTCCAATACATTTTGAAAGGGATGTTACTTTTCTATCTATTCCACGTCTGGTCTTGGTCTGCACCCATGTATGTCCATGTTCATGCCAGTGTCTTCATTGGGTCTGTAGTCTTTCTGGGACGCACCGGCCTGTAAAGTGTCTTTCGGACATGTCTCTTTTTGAGGAGCTCCTGGTTCAACTCAACCAGCTGCTCCTGGTGTTTGAGAAGACGATCCAAGCGAGGTCCCTGACATCCCCAGCCTGTGCATAGGGGATAGTAGAAATTGATGAAATGATGAAATGACAAATTGATAAAGCAAAAATCAAGAGGGTCAAGGCTGCAGGGAAAGGAATTCTTGCATTGAAAGAGATCAGAAAACGACCGTTCACAGCAAGTGCAACAGCTTATTTCTGTGCTGAAGGGCAAGCTTGGTCTCGCCATAATTATTTCAAGGCTGGAAATGTGTTTGTGCCGAGCCTGTGCTGATGTCACATGTCGATCGTTTTGTTCTCGCGTCGTTCAACGCAGTTCATCTCCGCTGGGTAATCATGAGTCGCTCCCCCTCCCCGCTGGGAAAGGGTGCGGCTATGACCGTGCAAACCTGAAAGAACGGATTGGACGAAGACAAATGGCTAACCGTGATCCAACCAGTAGCAATGGCCTCTAGCTAATAGCGATGGCCTCCAACCAAGTAGCGATGGCCTCCAACCTAGAAGGAATGGCCTAATAGCGATGGTCTCCAACCTCGTAGCGAAGGCCTCCAACCTAATAGTAGCAACAGCCTCCAACCTAGAAGCAATGGCCTCCGACCTAGTAGCAATGCCCTCCAACCAAGAAGCAATGGCCTCCGGCTTAGTAGCAATGGCCTCCAGCCTATAGTAGCGATGGCCTCCAACCTATAGTAGCGATGGCCTCTAACCTAGCGTAACCTAGTGCGTCAAATGGCTAACAGTACTGCAAAAGGAGATCTGGTGTGCGTTGTCGCCAGCGTTTTTCGCGCAAGTTTTGGACCAAATCAAGTCACTGCTCCTTCTTGTAGGCATGACGGGTGAAGATCAGCCACGCCATGGCAAGAGCCTCAGCACCAGCCACGTCCATGCGCCACATCAACCACCCAAGATATATGGAGATCATGTCAACTACAGGAGTCTACCAGTTCAACAGTCAGCCACATAGGGAAAGTTTACTGAAAAGGGATCGCGAACAGTGCTTCTTCCAGGTTGTGTTCTGGCTTTTGAGCCTCGTAACTATAGGGCCCCATCAGCAAAATAATCCAACAAATAACAATGGAGGTTCGGATGAACATGAAACAGTGAAATCATTCTCGTGGATTTCTCTGTGTCCATCTTCTACTGGCAGAGCCCTGCTGCAAAGCCCACGGTGCTCAGGATCCCGGCACCTGCACGGCCATGGCCCGCCTCAATCCAGCGACGTTTCATCCCACACCGACCGACTTACCATGACTTACCCAGACGCGACCCATGGGACTGCCATAGGACTGCCGATCAGGCCAGGGGTGGTTGAAAAGGGGTCAATGGGTAAATATGGCAGTCCCATGGAGCGTCTGGGTTAGGGCTTTGGCAGCGATCTCGCCATCCCTTTTCGGTGACGAGCTCGCACAGCTCGGAACGGGGCGCCCCACTGAGGGGGCGGTGCCATGTGGACCCTGCTCCCACGTTGGAGAGGTCCCGGAATCGCAATTCCTCGGGCAAAAGTGGGATCGCGGTGCTTCAGCGCGACCTGCTGGACATGCAAAAAAAAAGGTATGAATTAGATGATGAGATCCTCTCGGAGACGCCGCGAGGTCACGGTCACGACCTCCTCCACCTCTGCCGCCTTCTTGGTCACTGCGTTTTGAGCCTGAGCCACTGCCTTCTCGGCAGCCTCCTTGGCATCCTCCGTGACTTTCTGGGAGACCTGTTCTCCTGCAGAGTTGTCTGCCCTAACCGTGTCTGTGGCCTTTCTAACCACCTTGACAGCTGCCTTCTTGTCCTCAGATGTGTCAGACACTACAGGAGCCGCTTTGTTTGCAGCCGCCTTTGCGTCAGCTGCTGTCTTCTCAGCTGCCTGCTTGGCATCGGCCGCTGCCTGCTTCTGGGCCTTGGCAAGGTTGTCTGCAATCTCCTTTGCTGCTGCTTCCGCCTTCTCCTGAGTCTTTTGGGTCTGCGCTGCCAACTTCTGAGTGGCATCCGTGGCTTGAGTGGTCGCGGAGACCTCAGGCACTGCAGGTACTACAGGAGTCACCGCTGCAGCCGCTTTCTTTGCAGCCGCCTTTGCGTCAGCTGCTGCCTTCTCAGCTGCCTCCTTCGCATCGGCCGCTGCCTGCTTCTGGGCCTTGGCAAGGTTGTCGGCCATCTCCTTTGCTGCTGCTTCTGCCTTCTCCTGAGCCTTTTGGGTCTGCTCTGCCAACTTCTCTGCCGTCTCCTTGGTTTGGGCAGCCGTCTTCTTGGCTGCAGCAGCCATCTTCTCGGCTGCCTCCTTGGCATCTGCTTCTGCCTTCGCTTGTGCCTCCTTCGTTTGCTCAGCGAGCTTGTTGGCTGCCTCCTTTGCGTCAGCTTCAGCTTTCGCCTGTGCTGCGGCGATGGCATCTGCCACCTTCTGCCCAGCTTCTTCCGCCTTCGTCTTGGCCTCATCCACGCCTGTGACGGCTTCTTCCGCCTTCTTCGTCTCTGCCTCTGTGGCCTCTGCCTGGCTCTTGGCCTTGGCTACAGCTGCTGTCGCCTCGGTCTTCACCGTGTTGAGGACGCTTCCCAGGTCTGGCAGCTTTGGCACTGTCGGGGCCGGGGGAGCGGCGACCTGCGCGACCGAGGAAGCAGCCTCCTCGGTGTCAGGGGCCTCCTCGGTGTCCTTGGGGTGCTTCTTTCCTCCTTTAGTCTTTTTGGATTCCTCACCAATTTGCTCCAAGATACCACCAATGCCCTCCAGCAAGCCAAAAGCGCCCTTCTCGTCCTTCTTCCCCTTGGTGGCTCCAGCTTCTTCAGCTGCGGAGGCCTTTCCCTCGGCCTTGCCACCTGCCTTGTCGTTGTCACCGAAAATCTCACCCAGGATGCCACCCACAGCCTCCCCAAGGTCGCCGCCATCACTGTCCTCCTTCGACGCCTTTCCCTTCTGGCCCTTCTTGGACGCATCAGATTTCTGGTCACCTCCAAAGACAGCACCCAGCACATCACCGATCACCTCACCTACATCATCACCCTCGTCTTTGTTCTTCGCAGCCCCCTTGCCCTTGCCTTTCGAGACCTTGCCCTCGTCGCCACCGAAGATCGAACCCAGGATTCCACCGATGGCCTCGCCAATCTCGTCACCCTCGTCCTTCTTGTCCTTCTGGTCCTTGCCCTTCTTGGGCGTCTGAGACGGCTTCTCCTTCTTCTCGCCTGGCAAGGGGTAATCCATGAGCGCTTTGTAGTCGGCTGCCATCTCGGCGTCATAGCTGTCGGTTTGATATTTTGAGATGTTCATGTAGCTCTGCTGCTTGTTCCAGAACTTGTTCTTAAAGATGTAGAGGACTCCGGTGGAAGAGGTATTCTTACACTGGCTTAGCATTTCCAGGGGCTCCA